GGATCGTGTCTGTTCCTGGCAACTCTAGTCTTTTCTAGGCGCTCTCTATTCTTGTATATGTAAGCTCGGCAAATAAAGCGTGGGAGAGGTGACGACATAGATAAGGGCAGATAGGGAGATTTAGATACAGATAATCCAGTCGAGTGAGCGGTAGTGACCCGAAGTAAATTGCGTGAATCGTTGTGAATTATAGCGTGTGTTTAAGTTAAAGTGACTGTGGAAATTCTGTGTATTGCAAAGTTATGTTGAGAAAGAATAAATTACTTTGATTTAAGAAAGGACTTGTATCGCTGAAGTTCTTCGGAAAATTAACAAACAACAAGAGACGTAACAATACATTAATACTGTTTGAATTGTTAATCTACCAGTGTGATCAAACTTGACTTCTTTAAGCACTAACAAACTAATTAATTTAAAAGCTTGGCTTGCTGAACCTTCAAGTGCAAACAGCATTATTTTCCAATCTTCAGATGCAAGGTGATCCAAACTACGTAGAAGGATTTTACATCAGATTCAGAGATATCAGCGACGGATCTCGTAAGTACAAGATCATGACAGTATTGACTGGTTTGGCTTCTTCATACGTCCTCACCGGCTTGAGGAAGTTTACAAAGTACGAGTTTTTTCTTGTCCCGTTCTACAGAACTGTGGAAGGACCACCTAGCAACTCACGCCTCGTACAAACCTTAGAAGATGGTGAGTCTTCATGCATTTTATATCTATTAGCTTTACTCTTTTTTCATTCTGATATAAATAACTGTCTAGAAACGAGATATTCTTTTTCATTTATAAGAAAATATAATATCATTATATTCTGAGTTAAGCCTAATTAAATAAACGTAATGAGACTATGGTATAGTTTATGTAGTGGGCCGGGAAAAGAATGGCAGACGCATATTATGTATTGCTCATCATTGTCTCAAATATCTCTTATAACAATCTAAGAGACTTTTATAAGCATCCGTACTTACATTTTCAAGGTTTTCAGAAGCTATTAATTAAGTCCTTCAGTTCAGCCAAAAAACATCGCTAAAGTAGAGAACCAGCGAGTAACGTAACAGCCACATGTCCTGCTGATTATTGTAATTCTGGCCTCAGAAGGGCTAGTTCACCAATTCTCGAAGTTGTTGCGGTGATTTATACACCAAAATATTTCATTTTAACTTGGGGAGTGCAGAAGCAGTATAGCATTTAACCAACCTCAACATATGATGTTCATCAAGACAACTCATCACGACAGGATAAAACTGCTGCCTTCATAGCGACTGCCATTCATTCATTGGTATTGTTTAAAAAAAGACGAGAAACAAGTAACAGAAAACAAACTGAGAAAAATAAAGATAGTCTAGGCATGGCAACGCCAAAAAGTACAGAAACAAGGTAGGGATGAATACACAAAACTCCGTACATAAGTAGCCACTGTATTACAAACTTATGGGAATTACACATTGTAAGATTTTATAGCATTATTCAGTTAAAATGATTTTATTCAAACCTGAATTCAACATTTAGTTGTAGATAAAAGTTTTCTTCGAAAGATTTGGCTACTTATATATATATATATTACTTGTAAATGTATTATATTGATAGTGTTTGTAAATTTACTTATAAAGTAACTGTGCGCTTCCATAATGTTACAAGTTTAATTTGAGGCTTGATATTCGGTGAAAGACCTTGTCGGCAATGTATATAGCAGATAAAGAGTGGTTTATATATTACATTCTTCTATATTTTCACACATAAATTGTTATAATCATATATATAGTTAGACTGTTCCGTATATGTTTTTATTTAGTACCGTCAGCACCACCTGATAATTTACGTGTTCAGCTGGTTAATATGACAAGTGCTGCCATCTTTTGGTCACCTCCACCACCTCAGCATAGAAATGGAATATTGGAAGGATATAGTGTAAGATTAAATACAAATCTCTTTGCTTTACAAAAATTATCAATGTTAATTAAAATGAAATGCAAATGAATGAGTTTTAAGTATACTGTTGCGTCAGCGAGTCACATGACCACCGTGACGCAAAGTTTCTAGAACTATCATGTACTTTGGCGAATGTTCAAGTTCTTACTAGAAATAGGGTACGCTGGTATATAAAAGAGGGGAATGTAATGTGTGCGTAGTCAGTGAGTAATTGAACTGCAGTCAGAGAGAGACGTATTGTTGTATTATTGACGTTCGTTGATATAGCGTTTGTTTAGCGCGATTGTTGAAGTTGAGTGTATCGATAAAGTTGTATTCGGAAATAATAAACCAGTTTTTATTAAGAAAGAACTTGTGTCGCTTAAGTTTCGTCGGAACGAAGTTACGGAAAATCAATTAACAAACGGAGACGTAACAATACTAACCTTAAGTTTAACTCTAGAGAAGTGAATATTCCATTTGCTTACTTTTCCTTTCCAAAATGTTAAAATAAATATATTGTATAATTATTAGTTAATACAAAATTTTATTGCTACCTTGAATGAGACAACTATTGTTCAATTTAACTCTGTAAGATAACCTAACAATTTGTTTAACTCGTTGCGTTACAAACTGTGTTATATATCTGAAGTTTGAATACAATGTTTACTGTAGTAAAAAGTTTTGTCATAAACAGTAAGGAATATACATGTTAAATATACAGATAAAACCTGTGAGTATATCCTTGAAATTGTTTATGTGAGATATTATTCATCTTAAATTATACATTTTGCAAAGGTTTATCAGGCAGTGGGTTTTTATGTTGGTTATGTACAAGAGAGGTATGTTATGGTTACTATTATTATGACAAAATCAGTCTTGTTAAGGAAATATATTATGTTTTGTTTCGAAGGCTGATTAGTTTCATAATTATCTAATATACATATAGTAACCCTTTTTGGAAACAACACCGAAAATGATTTTGCAATATTTGTGACTTAAAGAAAACTATACGTATTACTCTTTCGTATCATGTATCATTTCATTATCTTTCCCTGGAATTATGGCTAATAGCTAAGGCAAGTTACTAATATCCAAACAAATGTATCTTGTTTCAGATTTATTTGCTGAGAAACACCTCTCACATTCACTCCAATATAACTACAAATGCTACTTCAACTTCTATTGTAATCCGCAACCTTACTGCTGGTGCTACTTACACTGTGAAAGCTTTAGCTTTTACTTCCATAGGACCAGGCCCCTACAGTTCCCCATTGGCTATAATTATGGGTTAGTAGCTATCACTAAGAATCTGAATGTTGATCTTATGAACAGATTTGTACATTATTTTTAGAAAATTTTTGTAATCTATTTTTATTTTCTCATATTCTTCAGAAATTATATTTCCTGTTGTATAACATCATTTTGTATGCTTGTGTATGACATTAATATACATTTATTTTTGAGTCTAAAAAAGGTCTACTATATCTTACAGATCCAAGTTATATGAGAAATCCCAGTGAAGCTGGACCAACCTCCACATCAATTGGTAATTCACTTCAAGATCTGCTTCGCCAGCCCTGGTTTATTGCTTTGATTGGAGGATTAGCGTGCTTATTGCTTTCTGTCTTCTTTGTCATCCTATTCTTACGCCGTCGCATGGCCTGGAAAAAAGCCTTAGTTGCTCATTTGGCAGGTATAATCATTTGTTTTAAACACTAATTGGGGGAATCAGTATGATCAAATGTCTTATAACATAGATGTGTGGAAGAAAAAAAATAAACTTTGTTACCTAATGTTTACACAAGTGTCATCTTAATCTTTGATAAAAATATTTATGATAAGGAAGTAGTAAATCAATTTGTTGACCCTAATTCAAAGAATTATAGTTTTATATTCAATTGAATTTGTAACATCTGACTGTTTTTAATATGTTAAAATGTCTTTTTTTTTATTAAATGAACATTTTGAGAAAACCCAGAGAATTGATAGTTATTAGATACATCTTAAGGTTATGTGCAACATAACTTATTATAATCATAATGAATAAATTATTTCTGTTGATAAGGAAATGAAGGTTTTAAATATGTTTAATACATTTAAATATTAAAATAAAGATGTTATTATTTTTATGAAACTACTATATGTACTTGTCAAGTGTAGTTAAAGTCATATATAATTTTTTTTTGCAGTCCCAGCTCATAAACCAGAAGATGTCAGGTGAGATGTGTATATGTATACAATAGTAACTAAATTCAGAATATTAGACAAAAATGTGTTAATGGCTAATTTATCTTGATAGATTCAAGTCTTAATTCAAAAATACAATACAGCAATTATTACAGTAGGCTACTTCTGATTTTTGTTATTACAACATTTTGACTCACAGTATCAGGTTATCATCATGTAAAAGTGAAGGTCAAGGTTAGAGTAATTTTTACCTGATGATGACTCATACTGTGGTTCAAAACATTATAATAATTAAAATCAGAACTTGCTTCTTGTAAAAATTGCTGGGTTGCATTTTTGAATTAATTATTCAGTTTAGAAGGTTCCTCACTAAACAGAAAATTCAAGTTTTGTTAACCTAGCTAGTGTTTATATCTGTGACTTGGTATCTTACCTGGCCTACTCTACAGTGTTTATGTATTTTTAATTAGTGAGGTTGTTTCAATATTCCAACAAGTATATTCATGAAAATAACTTTATATATTGGCTTAACCCCTTTAAACAACAAACATTAATGTTTTAACAGACTTAAAATTGTCAAGTTACTTTCATTGAGGAAAATATTATTCAATTCTATTTCCCATAATGCCTGAAATGAATAATATTTTCCTCAATGAAAGTAGTTTGACAATTTTAAATCTGTTAAAAGTTATTAAATTGTTCGATGCTTCATTAACAACTTTTTTACTGACACACAAGACAAAGTTAAGGGTAAAATAAATGATTTTATTGAAACCAATAGTTAAAAACGAACAATACCTTTTAACACAAACTATTGTCTTTCTCAGTGGCTTCTGTGTGAGTGATTTAATATGTTTACAGTAGTAACATGTAATATTCTGTTTGTACAGTTGTACTGGTACCTGTGTTCATGCGATTTTTTAGCTCCTAGGGTACACCATGCCACATGAAAAATGCCTTAAAATTTGTTGGTTTTTTACAACTTTACTTCATTGGTCTTGTGCTCATGGCTTTGGAAGACATTGCTATCATTGCTGGTTTAAATAATAATTAAAAAGGACCTTCATAATACAATAATGTTACTATGGCTGAGCCAAGTATAGACTACAGAAAGTACTGTTAAGCTAGTTTAACTACATGATAAATTATATTATATTTACATAATAGTAATTATTAAGTATAATCTTTATGTTTTTGAGGTTTTGCTTCTTCCTTTTATATTCATGTTCAGAGCTAGATGACTTTTAGAGGATGAATCAGTTATAGTCCTTTTTATTTATGCCTTTCTGTTTTTGTATACATCATTTGTATCATATGCATTTAGCTTAACATCACAAGTCTGACAAAAATATCATCCTCTTTGTATGGTTTTATATGTGCTGAAACGATCAGAAAAGGCTTCAACCTTTTCTTTTACATCTTCTATAACTTTGCATGCTGAGCCTATACTAGAAATGTTCATTCCTCATGTTTTAGTTCCTGCAGCCCCATAAACTGGAATGTATCACTGCTTGTCTAGCATTTTGTATACATGAGGTTAGCTAATGTTTTAACAGAATGTCATGTGACGCATCCTGCCACTCTCCTTCCCAAAGTCTGCATTCCTAGTGAAGAGCTTTTCTTTTAACTAACCTCCTGACTAACCCTGCACTTCCTGGGCTTTCCCATCAAACATTAGGACTGATGTCAGTGCACATGAGACCCTGTGGATTAACCGTGCTTGGCGACCCTCACTTCACACTAAAGAACACGGCACAAGTGAAACCAAATTACTGAATAAAAGGGACTTCTCTTCCAGTGGCTATAATTATTCAAGGTAATGAACACGATGTGCCATCTCTTATATTTACCCTGCTTGGCTGTTTTCTCCATAATTGAAATAACATACCAAGAACTAATGATAATTATCTGTGAAAAATTCCATTATCAGAGTGTGATTTGGTTCTCAAATGTTTATATACTCATTTATATTAAACAAATATCCATGTAGCCTACTGCCTTTGTTGATAGGATAAAATTTATTATAGCTCTACTTGAACCTGAATATTGACTGCTAGAATACTTTCAACTTATTAGTTAGTTTGTTACTTTTATTGGCACACACTTATGCAGTTTGAAATGGTTTCTCAGTGTCTATAAACTAATGATATATTTAATTTTTTGATATACATATTGTAAAAAATTAGCAAAAAGTATTGTTTTACTCTAAAAATTGTGAACAGCTCAAATAATCATAAGTTAATGCTTATTCTGAACTAAAAATTTGACTAAAATGTGGTTAAAAATCTCATGGAACCTTAATGCATAAAACTATTTTTCTGTTAAAAATCTATATCATTCTTCATACATTACAGATCTAATCATTATGTTATTAAAATTATTAGGTAAACAGTTGATCAATGTAAGTAATAAAACTGAATACTTTTTTGTTTTCACTTGCAGTGTCTATTCCCCCTTACAATGTAACGTGAATGCTTCAGACTATGCTGAAGTGGACACACACAATATGGCCACTTTCTACATGAAGGAACATCCTTCAGCTCCAGCTCCATATGCTACCACAACACTGATCAATGGGCCAGTACAGAAACACGTTAGTGCATCAGTAGGTTTATAGAATCTACATACTGTTTCACGAGAAGAGACTTTGTACCATAGAGAGTAGAATGGTTCAACTTATAAAATTTGTATGATTTAGATCATTTGTAGAGGATAACTCTGTGTGGGAGGTGGTAAAAGTTTTCTATATTTCATTTTTTTGTCTCCTCAAACTAATTAATAACCTTAACATAATCTAAATACTTCTTTAAGATTGAATTTTTCAACAACTTATGGAATTTTTCTATCTTTCATATTAAAAAGAAATTATTAAAGGTAAATAAACTATGTAGATTAGAACTAAACATAAGTTATAAATTAATAAAGCCAGTTCTACATAATAAAGTTAATACAAGCACATAATGCCATAAAGGAATACACAACAAAACTAAAACCAAAAAATGATTAGATTAGAAAACACTGAATCATCAGTTGGCACCTTTCTGTTAACAATGTTTTTAACTCTATATTAATACATGTTCTCTACTGTTCTTTGGTTATATCTTTTTAGTAGGGAGCAATTTGCAAAAACTATGACTTTAATAAAGCATATTAATTTCTCAATATTTACATAAAATTCAAAGAAAATAATTTTCACATTCTAAGTATAAAAAATACAAATAAATGGCAGCGTCATTGTTAAAACTTTGTAACATGATTGTATATGAATTGTAACTTACCACATTTGTACTTGATGTGTTAATATATTTTATCTGCAATTGAAAAATTATTAATAACTTCATTAATAAGCTATATGGATGTCCAAAGTTTACTATGATCTTATAATAACTGACATTGTATAGCAATTTACAATGTAATATCGGGCTGAGATGAAATTATTGTGGGAAAAATATCATGTGATTAAAATAACTTCAAATAATTTTCAGTTTTGCATAGTATTTAACTTAACAGCATCTAATCATCATATATTTTTAAATTCAGTTCTGTAAACGTTCTTTTGTTTTATTACGTACTAAACCATGTTTATTTCTACCCTTCAAGCTGAAAGACAGTCAAAACAGTGGGTCAGAAGAAGCCAGTAAAAAGTCAGAAAGACTAATGGATGTTGAATCTTTGAGGAACTATGATGGTGAATGAATTTTAAATGGTTCAAAACTATTGGCTTTCGTTCTGTTAGTCAGTCAGTTAGCCTAGAGAGCCAATAAACACATAAACTTGTAAACTATACATTCAACCTTAACAATGTTTACAAAAAAAAACAATAGGGAATATGCCAGTTGTATAAAAACTGCTGAAGGTTGAATTCTAAAAAAAGCAACTGTTGGAGTACTGGCTTCGAAAAAAAAAGTCCTTTCTCATCAGTAGCTACTAAAAACAGCAGAATAACTAATAGGTGTGTGTGAGAGAAAAACAGGAAGGAGTTGTAACACAGGTGCCTTGAAGTATACTAACACTCATTTCCATACCTAATTGTGGGTATGGTAATAACCCATAAATATGGTAAGTTGTACTGATAGTATAGTACAGTCATATAAGTTAGTACTATATTTAAAACCACCTGTTGCGTCAGCGAGGTCAGGTGACTAGTATCACGCCACGTCCTTCTCTCTTATATATACCAGACTACCCCCAATCTAGTAGTCTCCCGATAATTCACGAAGGTTCGGTTGTCAGTTCACTAGGTTCTAGTTGTCAGTGTTCTAGGTTCAAATTGTCATTGTTCGTGGTTCAAGTTGTCAGTGCACTAGCTTCAAGTTGTCAATGCACTAGCTTCAAGTTGTCAGTGCACTAAGTTCAAGTTGTCAGTGCACTACGTTGAAGTTGTCAGTTCACTAAGTTCAAGTTGTCAGTGTGCTAGGTTCCATTTGTCAGCGTGCTAGGTTCAAATTTTCACTGTGCTAGGTTCTAGTTTTCAATGCATTTGCTTCAAGTTCTCAGTGCACTAGGTTCAAGTTGGTGCACTATTTTCAAGTTGTCAGCTCACTAGGTTCAAGTTGTCAGTGTGCTAGGTTCAAGTTCTCAGTGCACTAGGCTCAAATTGTCAGTGTGCTAGGTTCAAATTGTCATTTTGCTAGGTTCAAGTTGTCAGTGTGCTAGCTACAAGTTGTCAATGCACTAGGTTCAAGTTGTCAGTGCACTAGATTCAAGTTGTCAGTGCACTAGCTACAAGTTGCCAGTGCACTAAATTCAAGTTGTCAGTGTGCTAGATTCAAGTTATCAGTGCACTAGTTTCAAGTTGTCATTGTGCTAGGCTCACGTTTTAAGTGCACTAGGTTCAAGTTCTCAGCGCACTAGGCTCTAATTGTCAGCGTGCTAGGTTCAAGTACTCAGTTTGCTAGCTTCAAGTTGTCAGTGTGCTAGGCTCAAATTGTCATTATGCTAGGTTCAAGTTTTCAGTGCACTAGGTTCAAGTTGTCAGTGGGCTAGGTTTAAGTTTTCAGTGCACTACGTTCAAGTCGTCAGTGCACTAGGTTTAAGTTTTCAGTGCACTAGGTTCAAGTTGTCAGTGGGCTAGGTTCCTTATTTTCCATACTACACATCATTAACAGAATCCCACCTGTTAAAGACTTCCGTCACATGTATACGGAGACACTAAGGATTATTCTGTTTTTATCAGTATGTCCCTATAAACCAAAAATGCTTACACAATGTAGAATACCAACGTTTCTTGTATGAACATTTTAACATATTTTAATACCACAACATAAGGTCGTGAACGTTCATGGTTTTTGCTATTAAAATATAGATGTTACTACTAATTATATATATTGTTACGTCTCCGTTCGTTAGTTAATTTTCCGTAACGTCGTTCCGACGAAACTTTAGCGACACAAGTCCTTTCTTAAATAAAACTGGTTTATTCTTTCTGAATATAACTTTACCATACACTTAATTTCAACAGTAACTCTATAACAAACGCTATAACTCACGTCTCACGTGGCCAACAATATTTTATCCGCATACATTCAATTACTCATTACCTGTTGTCCCGTCACGTTGTGATTGGTTGTCAATGCACTAGCTTCAAGTTGTCAGTGCACTAGGTTCAAGTTGTCAGTGCACAAGCTTCAAGTTGTCAGTGCACTAGGTTCAAGTTGTCAATGCACTAGGTTCAAGTTGTCAGTTCACTAGGTTCTAGTTGTCAGTGTTCTAGGTTCAAATTGTCATTGTTCTTGGTTCAAGTTGTCAGTTCACTAGGTTCAAGTTATCAATGCACTAGGCTCAAATTGTCAGTGCACTAGGTTCAAGTTGTCAGTGCACTAGGTTCAACTTGTCAATGCACTAGGTTCAAGTTGTCAGTGCACTAGGTTCAAGTTGTCAGTGCACTAAGTTCAACATAATGTACAAAATAATTATCCAATATAACACGTCATTACTTGAGAACATAATCTAAACATTTATAAAATTGTAGAAAATGCGTCATTGAAGGAAAGTTATTAAAAAATCCAGTTACTGACTTAAACATTATTAAACATGAAGAGGAATCTCTGATATTAGCTTACATAATTGTAACTTTTATAATCCACACAAAACTATTAGTTTTCTTCTTGTAAGTTAATGTAATGTTTGTTTTAAGGTTTGTGTGATGTTTATCCCTTAAGAAACAAGTTTTTATACCAAACACATTAAATATTGAGAAGGAACAGATAAAGTTTGATGTTAATAGTTGTCCAAATGTGATGTAAATGTTGCCAAGTTGTTGAGTTCTGTATAGAGAAGTTTTAACAAAATCATTTGAATATGCCACTGTCTTTCTGTAACAGTTCGGTCATAGAATTACTTATCATAGATGAAATAACTTTTTATATGAGCATTCTGGGTATTTGATTGTGTTATATAAATGTATAGAAAATATAGTTTTGTCCAGAAAACAAAATTGTATATTAAACGTGTAAGCTTTGATATAATTTTTGACGTATATATATATATATTTGTTTCTAAGCTTTAACATGTAACCTAAAGCAAGGCTTGAGTAGGAACTTATTTTAATATCGTTATCAAGTTGATAGAAAGGAAGCAATTCATAATAAAAAGAATATTAAGAATATGCATTTCTGTGGTTAGTTAATTTTCTGACCTAGTATTGTATCAGTCCTTTAGAAGACTTTTCATTGCTTCAGTTAGCTGGTTTCTTGCATCTGTTGAAGATTGTTTTATCTGTTGAAAAGAAAGCCTTAGAATAATATTTCTTAAGCCTAACTATGAAAAAAAGGTGAAAATGTTTATTCCTGTTTTGGTGAATTGATTTCGTTTTCTTTTTGTGTGTTGTTGATGTTAGTCTTTGAAAAGGTTTGTATTAAAAAACATGGTTGTGTTTTTAGCATAACTTTAATGGATGACGGTGATGTTATTATAATTTTTTCTTCTGTCTGTTTTATCGAGTGATTATGTTATCTAAGATTTTATAGCGTCTTCATATATTCATCAGACAGTTGAGAGGTTTGTGTATTTGTTCATCTTCTTTTGTTGTTTTTTAATTGTACATTATGTCCGTGCTGATTTGTTAAAAACTTGTTTCTTTGTTTTACAAAATTAAGTTTTTTTTCAAGTCTATTGAAGGTTATGTTAATATATCTTCTACAGCTAGTGGTAAATGTTGTAACACAAGAGTAATCTTTATGATTTGGTAATAAGTATCGTCTTTAATATGGAAACATAAACTACTTTAGTCCCACATTTATCACTCGTTTCTGTAATCAGAAATAACCAGTCAGTCTTTTGTTGTTGGCATGATTAACAGTGGAGTTAAGCCATTCTCTGCTTCAAATGACCTTCATGTGACATGTCAGAATAAGCAACTCTTTTAGACATTTGTCTACAGAAAGTTAGCTGCTTTTACTAATCCCAACCAAAATGTCTTGTTGATTTCAACTCCTAACCAATATGTGTTTTTGATTTCAGTTCTCAACCAAGATGTTTTTTTTTTATTTTATATCCCAATCAAGATGTCTTGTGTTCATTGAAACTGTTTATATTCTGATCTAACTTGGAACTTAAAAAATATTTTAATGGTAAATTAGAGCCTCAGCATGGCAGCACATTTCAAACCCCACTGAAGTCACATGTGAAGGAATTGTTCATTCTGCATACAGTGTGTCTTATATACTGTTATTGTTAATACAAGACTGTTGGTAAGGGTGAAACCTAGGTGGTATTAGGGTTAACAGCCTTGTTTGCTGACTTTATTAATTTTTGTTAATTTTTTATATTCTTATTAACCTAATTAAAATAACAGAACCTACAGTAGGGCTAGGTAAGGGTGTTTCCAAGATACAGTTTGTCACCAGGAGATAAACCTCATGTGCCTACAGTTTCCTTGTGGATTGTTTAAGCAGTTAAAATAGACTTTTTCTGTGTGTGTGTGTGTAAGCTGTAGCTAAAAATAATATTTATTGTATGTTCATATTAAGGAATAATGGTTTTCAAAGGTTAAACTTATGAATGTTACATTTACTTCCAAAGCCAAGACCAATGCTTGCAACATTCTTATAGAAAATATTCATTTATTGTTATTTCTTGTTGACATTTCGAGGAAAAGAAAGGATGTGTGTGTGTCTTCCAGAGTAGCAATCCGTGTGCCAAATAAAGCATTTTATATAAAATACCCCCAAATAATTTTATTCACAATGTTAGAATGTATTCTTTAACTTCAGTTATTATGTTTTACCTACAGTAAAGAGTGATGGTGAGAAAGCAGGTTTTGGTTTTTACGTTAGGTAATAGAAAAGCTTCAGTACACAGTTATTCCTCCCTGTTATATTCTTGATAGCTATGAAACATTTACTGTGTTGAGCATTGGTCTTGGATAATACTTAGTACATTGTTTTCAGAATATTTTTACATACAACAACTGTATGTGCCAGTTGTTCAATCCCAATAAAAAAGGATCTTTCCAAATACTTGTGTGACTGAATCAGTTGATCTTATGAGTACATGCTCAAAGGTATAATTACACGTGGATCTGTAAGGGGAGTGAAAAATTTAATATTATTTGTAGTTAGGTTTTGTGGCAACTAATCTCAAAGAAAATATATTTAAACTAATTCTGATTCTTTAAGTATGTGTCACAAAAAAGCAGCTCATTGCTAAAGAGTTGTTAGATACAATTATCTGTTCAATACTGAGTGTAGTTGCCATGAAACTTGATAAACGAAGAACACTAACATTATTTTTAATAATTTGTGTGTTTATACATTGTAAAGATAATAAACAATGTACTCATTTGCTCAACAACATTTTTTTTATACAACCAAATAATTGACAAATTAACAGCATTTATGAACAAAAACACGAGGGAATCCTCAATAGCCGTGGCACTTGAAATTCTTTTGGGCAGAATTAGAGTAAATTAATCTGTGAGACTTTTTTTTTTTCTTTTTATTAGCTATATTTTTGTGTACCAGCAATACCAAGCATGGGGCGTGCGTATACCCGATTCAATTTTATTAGTCATCAGGATCTCTACCAGCCTACCTTCAAACTGAAATTTTTTTTAGGCAGGATTAGGATAAATTAATATACGAGGCCATGGGCATGATCAAATATTTCAATCGAAAGAGTTTGACCTCCCGAGTCCAAAGCTGTAATTGGATCTCAAAATTGGCCGACGAGATGACAGAGCTATGAGCTAAAAGTTTGTAATAGAAAATTAAAAAATCTTGGAGTCGTTCTACGAGCCACTAATCCATGACTAAAAATGTTACTTAATCCTACAGAAACTGACACAATTTCAAGTTTAAATTGGTAACCATCATTTTTTCGTTCAAGTCAATGATATCACTAAAGTCACTCAAATTGTCATTGTTCTAGGTTCAAGTTGTCAGTGCACTAGGTTCAAGTTGTCAGTGCACTAGGTTCAAGGTGTCATTGTTCTTGGTTCAAATTGTCAGTGCACTAGGTTCAAATTGTCATTGTTCTTGGTTCAAGTTGTCAGTGCACTAGGTTCAAGTTGTCAATGCACTAGGTTCAAGGTGTCATTGTTCTTGGTTCAAGTTGTCAGTGCACTAGGTTCAAGTTGTCAATGCACTAGCTTCAAGTTGTCAGTGCACAAGCTTCAAGTTGTCAGTGCACTAGGTTCAAGTTGTCAATGCACTAGGTTCAAGTTGTCAGTGCACTAGGTTCAAGAAAAACACAAAACTTAAGCCTAATGTTTCACTTATTACAGTACTTTCAGATGTTTCATGACAAA